CTGGTGGAACACAAACTCTTCCTAGTCTTTTTTAAGTTCCAGAGATTTTTGTTGTTGTTGTTCCTTTGTTTTTTAGGTTAGTTCTTTTCCTATTCTGAAGTATTAATAGTTTACTTACACATACGTGCTATCCAGTACTCAGTAGACTTCACATCTCTGGAAGGGTTTCTCTGGGTTAGCTCTTACCTCTCTGTACTCTGCCCTAAGAACACTAGTCTCTTTGGTGTCTTCAGATTCCCAGCGTACGTCTTTTCAACTCAAGGAGACTGCTGGACTCTGCCTAGGTTCCCCTCCCTGCCTGGAAACTCCCTCTAGGGAGTAAGCAGGTCAATCACAGGTCTCTTTGGGCATTTGATTTGCATCTCCCTCAGGGATCACTGTCCTGGACTGTTCTTTGTTTAATGTTTGGAAAATGCTTCGTATATATGGTCCTATTTTTAAGTTGTTTCAGGTGGGAAGGTATATGTGGTTCCTGTTACTCCATGTTGGCTAGGAGTCAGATTTGATAAGCTTTGTCATAATACTGGTGTAATGGCTGAATGATTCTCTAGGATGCAACCATGATGTGACTTCACAGACTCTCCAAAAGTCTGTTAAGTTACATCATGGTCGCATCCTACAGAATTATTCTACTTCGTGGAACCACTCTGGTTACTAGTTGTCAAACTAGTAGGAATGTTGTTATGTCAATACAGGTAAGGTGATCTCCATAAAACCATGCTCATTTTCTTGGCCTCCAGGTGATATACGGTTTGCAGAATGTCAAAAATAGGTCAGTTAGTGACATTTGTACCTAGGCCAAGAAACCAGGGTGGCAACCATATGTTTGCTACTACCGATATAGGTTTCTACTAAGAAATAATCACAATATTTGCCAAGACATAGCACTGATCACCCTGCATTTCCTAAACATTTGGGGAATAGACAGACACCATGGCTTGAGGAAGGCATGCGTCACCCTGAGCTCATGCTCACGGTTTTCAATTTAGATACCGTTAGAATTTCCCACAGACTGTCTTATGTTGTGAAGCAGACTTCTAAGATAGTAGCATCTGGATATCAACAGGTTCAGTCATATGTCACTTAGCAAGAGGGATGCATTCTGAGAAATGTGATGTTAGATGATTTTGCTGTACATCATCAAGTATACTTACACAAACCTAGATGGGACAATTTATATACACCTAGGCTATATGGTAGAGCCTATTGCTCCTAGGCTACAAACCTGTACAGCATGTGACTGTATTGAAAATTATAGGCAACTGGAAAACAATGGTATTTGTGTATCTAAACATATCTAAAGCCAGGTGTGGGAGCTCATTCCTGTAAACCTATGGAAGGCTATGATGGGTGAATCATCTGAGCTCAAGAGTTTGAGACTAGCCTGGGCAACATAGTGAGATCTTGTCTCTACAAAAAATATAAAAATTAGCTGGGCATGGTGGCATGCACCTGTAGTCCCAGCTACTTGGGAGGCAGAGGTGCGAAGTTGGCTTGAGCCCAGGAAGCAGAGGTTGCAGTGAGCTGAGATGACTCCACTGCACTCCAGCCTGGGTGACAGAGCCAGACTTGTCTCTAAATTAATTTAAAAAAATATATCTAAATATAGGAAAGGTGTGGTAAGAATATGGTCTAAAAGAATAAAAATATGGTATACTGTATAGGGTACTTACCATGAATGGAGCTTGTAGGACTGAAGTTGCTCTGAGTGAGACAGTGAGTGAGTGTGAAAGCCTAGGACATTACTACACATTACTATACATTTTATAAACACTGTACGCTAGTGTGTGTGTAGTGTAGTAAGACTACACTAGATTTATAAAAAAGTATTTTTTTTATTTCTTCAATAATGAATTAGCCTTAGTTTATTGTAATTCAACTTTATATACTTTTCATTTTTTAAAAAAAAACTTTGACTCTTTTGTAATAACATTCCTCTTTCTTTGTCTAAAGTCTTCTTGATGTTTTAAATCTTTTCAAAAAACCAACTTTTCATTTCATTCTTTTCTATAGTTTTTTTTTTTTTTTTTCTTTTTTTAAATTTCTTTTTTTTTTTTTTTTTTTTTTTTTTTTTCTCTATTTTTGGGTTTGGTTTGCTCTTGTTTTTCTAGTTCTTTAAGATGCATTATTAGGATGTTTATATGAAGTTTTTCTACTTGTTAATGTAGGTGTTTATTGCTATAAACTTCTCTCTTAATACTGCTTTTGCTGTATCCTACAGGTTTTGGTGTGCTATGTTTTCATTTTCAAGTGTTTCAAGAATTTCAAAAATTTCCTTCTTAGTAACACTTGGCTTAAAACACAAATACAGGCTGGGTGTGGTGGCTCATACTTGTAATCTAAGCACTTTGGAGGCCAAGGCGGGCGGATCACCTGAGGTCAGGAGTTCAAGACCAGCCTGACCAACATGGTGACACTCCGTCTTAAAAAAAAATAAACACACACAAATACATCGTACAGTTGTACAAAAATATTTTCTTTCTTTATAGCTAATTCTATAAGCTTTTTTTCTATTTGTATTTTTTAACTTTTCAAACATTTTTGTGAAAAACTGAGACAAACACACATTGGCCTAGGCCTACACTGGGTCAGGATCATCAATATCACTGTCTTCCACTCCACATCTTGTCCCACTAGAAGGGCTTCATGGGAAATAACACTCATGATAACAATGCCTTCTTCTGAAATACCTCCTCAAGGACCCACCTCAGGCTGCTGTATAGTTAGCTATTTTTTTTTAATAGGTAGAAGGAGTATACTCTAAAATAATGATAAAAAGTACAGTATAGTAAATACATAAACCAGTAACATAGTTGTCTATTGAAGTATTATGTACTGTACATAATTGTATGTGCTGTACTTTTATACGACTGGCAGTGCAGTAGGTTTGTTTCACCAGCATTACCCAAACACGTGAGTAATGTGTTATGCTATGATGTTATGACATCTCTAGGCAATAAGAGTTTGTCAGCTCCATTATAATCTTATGGGACCATCATGGTATTATGCAATCTGTCACTGACAAAAAAGTCATGTGACACATGATTATACTTTATTCGGTTAAATGGTCAGACAGAAAAATTGAGTCAAATGCTTGCAGGGTCTCTCAGATTTTGTTTTTTGTTTTGAAACAGTCTTGCTGTGTTACCCAGGTTGCAATTATAGCTCACTACAACCTTGAACTTCTGGGTTCAAGTGTGGCTCCTGCCCCAGCCTCCTGAGTAGCTAGGACTACAGGCATGCACCATCATGCCCAGCTAATTTTTCATTTTTTTTGTTGAGACAAGGTCTTGCTATGTTCCTCACTCTGGTCTTAAAGTCCTGGCCTCAAGCAATCCTCCCACCTTGCTTTCAGCCTCCCATAGTGCTGGGATTACAGGTGTGAGGCACAGTGCCTGGCCTCTCAGGTATTTTCTAAGGTTCCAACAAGATGACTGGGTCAGCAGTCAGTCTATGGCCACTTGTTAGCCCTTAATCCTTCAATGCTTCTCCTTTGCAGCTTAGGGTATTACTCTCTGTATGTAACATCACCTTGAATGTTTTACCATTCCTTCCCTTCACAGTTTGTTCTGGTGGGCGAAGGAGACCAACGCAGGCCTATGAGAACTGAAATAAATTTCATCATTGAGCAAGCTAGTTACTTTAACTTCCTAGAATCACCACATACTTTAAATTCCCATTAAAAAGATAACAGCAGCAAATCTGTTGTGATTGGCATTCTTAGGATTCCTGGGGTTTTAGTTTCTCCTCCATGTTGGCTGTGTAAAGAGGGCTCTTCATCTCAGGGAACACTGACAGTGAATGGACCTGAGGAGAGAGCCAGAGGAAAGCTGCAAGGGGTGTAGGTAGGTAGGGTGTGTGTGTGTGTGTGTGTGTGTGTGTGTGTGTGTAGGGTGTGTGTGTGTGTGTGTGTGTGTGTTTCTCAGCTGTAGAATTCTGAGAGGCAGTCAAAACTGCCAACCTTCCTTTGTAGGACTAACTTAAGGCCAAGAAAGATTGGCTGAGTGAATCTTTTGACGACAGGTTTTGCACACCTTGGTGGAGGCTTCTCTTGTCCCTGACTACCAGATTTCAAAGGGATTGCACCAGTCTGTCTGACCATAATGCTGCTATTGTACCAAGAGTGCCCATATATTCATTTCTTAAATGTTTTTCGGCTTTATCATGTGCAAGGCCCTGTACTGCCTCTGAGACCAGCTAATTAAAGGGTTACTTTTCTGAATCTTACCTCCTTATAATTGATGCTAGTTGACTGTTATTTTTATATGGTACAATCATGCCCTTCCCCCTGGACAATTACAAAGCTAGAGAATAAAAGCACAAAACAGAATGGCTGGGAAAATGGGTTGTGGATTACTTCAGTCACAGAACATCTTAGCAAACAGGTGGAGAGGAATCTCCCAAGTAATCTTTGAAAATCTGCAGAACAGTAGGGTCCAGAAAGGGTGCCATGTCTGATCCACCACCTTTACTGGTAGTGAGAGTTTCCCTGGAACACAGCCATGCTCATTTGTTTACATATCGTCTATGGCTGCTTTCATGCTGCAATGACAGAGCTGAATAGTTATGACAGAGGACGTGAAGCCTATGATGCCTTAAGTTTTCTAATTCCCGGTCTAAAGATAAAGATAAGATACAAAAAAGGTCTGGCCAGGTGTGGTGACTCATGCTGTAATCCCAGCACTTTGGGAGGCCAATGGCAGGAAGACTGCATGAGCCCAGGAGCTCGAGGTTGCAGTGAGTCATAACTGAACCATTACATTCCAGCCTGGGCGATGGAGTGAGATCCATCTATATTTAAAAAAGAAAAAAAAAGCTTTTGATTTTGATAGAAGAATTCCAAATTATGATATGGCAGTAATACAATAGTATATAGCCCATATATCATAAGTGTAATTTCTGAAAGACTTGCCTACTAAGGCATACAAGCAAATATATAAGCCAATTTTCAGAGGTAAAAATTCAGTCACCACTAACTTTGAAATATTGTTTCATTCTAGAAATTGGCCGGTGAAAAAAGTCAAACATGAAGTTTGCAGTTTTGTTTTGTTTTTTTCTGCTTATCATTTTTCAAACTGACTTTGGACAAAATGAAGAAATTCCTAGGAAGCAAAGGAGGAAGATATATCACAGAAGGTTGAGGAAAAGCTCAACCTCACCCAAGCACAGATCAAACAGACAGCTTGGAATTCCGCAAACAACAATTCTTACACCAGTAGCAAGATTTCCTATTGTTAACTTTGATTATAGCATGGAGGAAAAGTTTGAATCCTTTTCAAGTTTTCCTGGAGTAGAATCAAGTTATAATGTGTTACCAGGTAAGAGAACCGTATGAGAGGGAGAGAAGGAGGGAGGAGGGTGAGAGATGGTGTGCAGAAAGAGAAGGAGAGGGGGAGAGAGAAAGAACATCTCCATGAAGATAATTTTCCAAAGAAAAATCCAGGTTATTATATTACTTTTCGGTTTATGTGTCTACAAACATACATTTTTAAATAATTTTAAATAATTTAAAAAGTAATTTAAGGAACATATTTGTAATACAAAATTATTAGAGAAAAATTACTTATTCTACAACTATATTTACAAAATCATAGTTATCATATTGGTTTATTTATTTCCAGTATGTTTACTATGTATGTAGTTTATTTATTTATTTATTTATTTTATTTTATTTTTTTAAAGATGGGGTTTCACTGTGATGGCCAGGCTGGTCTTGAACTCCTGACCTCAGGTGATCCACCCACCTCGGCCTCCCAAAGTGCTAGGATTATAGGCGTGAGCCACCGCGCCTGGCCATGCATGTATTTTAGATAGTTGCATTGCTAACACAAATAATATACATAAACACTTATAAACTGCCTTTCCATTTATGACACTAGATAATCTAGAATACAGAAATAAATTATTCAGATGATTCTGTGAACATACAGCTATTACATATTTTCAACCAAAATTTTTCAACCACAAATATAATTAAAGCCACTGAATTCATTTTATATAGGTTAAACCACTGACTTTTTAAAGATTGAAAAGGCTAAAAATTCTGCTAAAGATTTCAACTAGCATTTTTAAAAACTAGTATTAAATGGTTCACATTTTCCCAAATTTGGAAGAAATAAGTAATTATAGACATGTTACCATTAAATAAAACTTTTTAAAAATACCAGGAAATATAACCATGTAATTTTCTGTGGCTGTTATTTTATATATTGTCTCAATACAGCTAAGTGCTACTTCATGATTATTTCCATGAAGTTAACAGAAATAATATACAATTATCCTGAAAATAAGCAATTTAGGCCACAGTTACAATGTGATTAGGAAAAGAAAGGAAGAGAATCAACTTTAAAAACTTGTAATAATAGTGTACCCATAACTGCTAAAGAATGATGAGGTCAATTTTTTTTAGTTAAGTGGAAAGACAGCTAAGCTATAATAATAGAAAATAAAAAGGCCAAGAAAGAAGTATTCATAATGTGATCTCAAACTTGTTTAAAAAATGTTTTTATATGTACTAAAGGGTGGTATGCATAAAGGTGTAGAAGATATATATTAGACATTTCCAAATTGTCCAAAAATGTTTTCCAGTGATTTTACAGTAATTTTTGATTCTATCACCACACATAACACAAAATTCTTTTTCACTCATTTTAAAGTATTCAATTCAATAGCATTTAGTACATTCACAATATTGTACAACCATCACCACTATCTTGTTTCTGAACATTTTCATCCCACCAAAAGGAAACTCTAAATAAATTCCTCATTCCTCCCTACTCACAGGGCTTGGCAACCACCAATCTGTTCTGTCTGTGCCTATGAATTTGCTCTGGAAATTTCATGTAAATGGAATCATATAATGTCTGTCCTTGTGTATCTGACTTCTTTACTTCGTATAATGTTTTTAAAGTTCACCCATGATTAGCTTGTATCACTGTATCAGAACTTCATTGCTTTTTATGGCTGAATAATATTCCATTGTATGGCTATACCATATTTGTTTATCCATATTGTTTATCAGTTGATGAACATTTGGGCTGCTTCCACCTTTTGGGTTTCATGAATAGCACAGCTATGAACATTAATATAAGTTTTATTTCAACACCTATTTTCAATTCTTTTGGGTATATACTTAGGAGTGGAACTGTTGGGCCATTCAGTAATTCTGTATTTAATTTATTGATTAACTGCCAAATGTTTTCCAAAGTGGCTACACGGTTATATTCCCACCAGCAATGGAAGAGGATTCTTGTTTCTCTACATTCCTGCCAACAAAGTGTTATTTATTTTTAAGTATAGCCATTCTTGTATGAAATGGTATCTCACTGTGCTTTTGATTTGCGTTTCCCTAACAACTAATGATGTTAAGCACATTTTTATGTGCATGTTGTCTTTCTGTATATCTTCCTTGGAGAAGTAGCTATTCAAGCTCTATTCCTATTTGTTTCAAGAGATGGGATCTTGCTCCGCTGTCCGGGCTGGAGTACAGTGGTATAATCATAGCTCACTGCAGTCCTGAACTGCAATCTTGAACTCACCGCAAGTCTTAGCTTCTGTGATCCTCTGCCTCAGCCTCCCAAGTAGCTGGGACTACAGGAAAGTACCACCACATTTGGCTAACTTTTTAACTTTTTTGTAGAGACAGGGTCCCATTATGTTGTCCAGGCTGGTCTCAAATTCCTGGCCTCAAGAAATCTTCCCTCCTTGACCTCCCAAAGTGCTGAGATTACAGGCGAGAGCTACTGTATTGGGGCAAGCCCATTTTTTAATTGCATTGTCTTTCCATAGGTGAGTTCTAAGAGTTCTTTACTTATATTCCGGATATCAGGCCCTTATTGAATATACGACTTCACATATTCTCTCTCATTGTGTACACTGTCCTTTAACCTTCTTAACAACATCCTTTGACGCACAAAGTTTTTAATTTTGATGAAGTCTGTTTTATCTTTTTCTTTAGGTGTCATATCTAAGAATCCACTGCCAAATGGGAGGTCATAAAGATTTGCCCCTATGGATTTTTCAAAGAGTTTTATAGTCTTAGCTCTTACATTTACAGGGAAGGTCTAAATATAAAGATATAGTCGGTCTTAGATCCATTTTGAGGTAATTTTTGTATTTGGTGAAAGGTAGGGATTTAGATTCATTCTCTTGCTGGTGTTGTCCCAGCACCAGTTGTTGAATATTGTTCTTTCCTCCACCAAATTGTCTTGACACCTTCTTGAAAATCAACTGTTCATAGACGTATGCCTGACTTTCAATGTTCCATTGGTCTACACATCTATCCTTATACTAGTATCACACACTGACAAAAGCTGATTATCCTATCTTTATAGTGAGCTTTTTGAAATCTCGAAGAGCGATCCAACTTTGTTCTTTTTTCTCAAGGCTGTTTTGGTTATTTGGAATCCCCTATAATTCCACATGAATTTAAGGATCAGCTTTTCCATTTCTGCAAAAAAAGGCCATGGAAATTTTTATAGGGTGTAGTGCTTTTAATAACCAATAACTCGTATGGTATTTTTGTTCAGAGGAGAAATTGCGTAGATGGGATTAGCCTATTCCAAGTATCTAAATGAGAGATGGGTAGGGCCTGAATTGGGCTGAGTTAGAGGTCAGGGAAAGAAGGGGACTAATGTGAGAGGGCTCATTTGGAGGTGGAACTTGGGGACAGTGGCTCAGATGGAAGAAAGTTATCCGGAATGACACCAGGGTTAAAAGGAAAACATCCCCTCTAATACTTTCCTCAGCTTTCTAATGGCCTGCTTAGCTGATACACTTAACCACATATCTACAATCTTGTATGTTAGGGAAATGAATGTATTAAAACCACTGCATTGTATACTTTATTTGTTTATTTATTTATTTCGAGACAGTCTTGCTCTGTCACCCGGGCCAGAGTGCAGTGGAATAATTGTGGCTCACTGCAACCTCCACCTCCCAGGTTCAAGCGATTCTCATGCCTCAGTTTCCTGAGTAGCTGGAACTACAGGCATGTGCCACAACACTTGGCTAATTTTTGTATTTTTAGAGGAGATGGGGTTTCACCATGTTGCCCAGGCTGGTCTCACTCAAACTGTTGGCCTCAAGTGATCCACCCAACTCAGCCTCCCAAAGTGCTGGGATTACAGGCATGAGCTGCCGCACCCAGCCATTATTAAAGCACTTTAAAAGGGTGAACATTACAGTATGTGAATTATATTTCAATAGTCTAATAAGCCATAAAAGAGATAGCTACAATGTCTCATTGAGAAGCATCATAGAAGCATGCTGTCTGGTTTTACCTATTCCTATTTGCATATCAAGGGTGGGCCGTGAGCTCATCATTAGTGCTATCTCAGCTCTCTGATCACACGATGGAACTCCACTGCCAGGTGGCTTGAGAAGTTAGGTGTAGCCATACAATTTGCTTTGGTCAGTATAATTAGACACTTTTAGAGCTCATGTGTGATTTTCAACCTCACATTCCCATTACTGCAGTGATCAGGACTGCCTGCTTATAGATGAATTCTGAGTGAGTATGATGAGCTGAGTCCCTGTGTACCCACATTAAACACAAAGTATAAATAAAAAATAACTGAGATTTGGGGATTGTTTGTTGCTGTCATATAATTTAATCTATCCTGACAGATATAAAATGAAAGCACAATTCAGCCCCAAGTTACCATGAGGAGTTCACTCTCAGAGCGGAAGTAAATGAGAGCCTGTGAAAAGCATTTCAGCATTTCTTATGTCTATAAGACATTTTTACCCTATATATGGATGCACAGAGAATTCTACTCTTGTGTGATTAGAGCAGTTTTATTTCACACTCTGTTCACTTCCATTCACAGTTTTGCTGGTAACCACATAAGGGATTTAAATTTGTGCTTTTATTTTCTTCTAGGAAAGAAGGGACACTGTTTGGTAAAGGGCATAACCATGTACAACAAAGCTGTGTGGTCACCTGAGCCCTGCACTACCTGCCTCTGCTCAGACGGAAGAGTGCTTTGTGATGAAACCATGTGCCATCCCCAGAGATGCCCCCAAACAGTTATACCTGAAGGGGAATGCTGCCCAGTCTGCTCTGCTACTGGTACAGAGATTTAGCTAAACAAAATATCAGTGTGTGATTAATCTTTAATAACTTCCATTTGTTTGTGCTACTAATTTTAGTTTAAAATGATGACACCTTAGTCATTTGAGTACTTAAAATATTGGCAAAATGCTGATTAAGATAGAAAATGTCTGGGGAAGTGTATGGTAGGGGATACAAATAATAGACCGTGGCTTTATAGTTCTAGCTCTATCAGATTCAGTAAGCTTGGATGAGATTACATTTCACATTTGACTCTCAGCTTTAGAGATATGGTAACAGAACTTCTACAACTAACAGATCCTAGTTCTTACTGAGTTAAGGGCTCTGCTTTGGTCTGTATATGTTACCTCACTTAATCCAGTGCAACAGGGCTATATCACCTTGAAGTCAGGTTAAACAAAGGAAGAGTGATTTGCATCTAGAGAGAACAAAGCCCCAACCCTCTGACTATACCCAACCATTCAAAGGCAGCACAGGAACCCACATCACTGCTTGGATAATCCCAGGAAAATGCAGAAGTGTGGCCTGAAGCATGATTTTCTCAAGTGGCACTTCTGTGTGCAGGAGATCACAGCACGGGTTTTGCTGGCTGCCCACAGACCCCTTCTCCAATGAGGCTCATACCTGACTGAATGGAAGACCCTTTGGAAGGAGGCCCAGTCTCCTCCAAGAAAAGCCTAACCAACACCTTATGAAAATGAGCAAATAAATACTTGTTAAATAATTGGATGGGAAGGGATAGGGACATTTTCTCTTGTCTATAACCGAGGTAGATTGCTCCCATGCACACAGATAATCACAGGGTAGGTGTCTACAAAAGTCTCCTACCAGGAAGAACTTTTGACTGTTTAGAAATTGTGTTTTGCTTAATCTTACCAAATATTTCACTAGTATTTAAAAAAAGATTCCTTGGAGTAAAATAAATACAAAGTTTACAAAGTAAGAGTCACAAATTCTCAGGCATTTTTTCAAAAGACTTGGAGTATTCCCGAAATGTAGTTATTTTGGAAAAATAAACTTGGATATACAGGAAGGATTTTAAATGTTTCAATATGGCAGCGTTAGTTTCCTTTTACTAACTTTTTCCTATTCTCCTTCTGCATGTTTTGCTAGAGATGTGAAAAAACAACTCACAAACTTTATAATATATACTGAATTGATATCTCAAGTAATTTCTCCAAATAATTATATTTCCTGAGTTCTTTTGGGGAGTAGTTTATACATAGTAGTAAATACAAGTAGGCAGATGATTAAGTAAATTTATAAATCTTGATGGAAGAAAATGTATGTGCTCTGGCTGGGCTCAGGAGCTCAGGCCTGTAATCCCAGCACTTTGGGACAACAAGGTGGGAGGATCACAAGGTCAGATGTTTGACACCAGCCTGGTCAAGGTGAAATGTGGTCTCTGCTAAAAATACAAAAATTAGCCAGATGTGGTGGCAGGCGCCTATAATCCCAGCTATTCGGGAGGCTAACGCAGGAGAATCGCTTCAACCTGGGAGGTGGGGGTGGCAGTGAGCTGAGATCATGCCACTGCAACCAGCCTGGGCAACAGAGCAAGACTCTCTCAGGGGTGGGGGGAAGAAAATGTATGCACTGTGAACTCAGTTATTCCTAGAACTGTTTACTCAGAGAGTGAATCACTTAAGTCCAGAATGTCATTTATAAGTCTCAGGTAGTAAAAATGATTTAAGTATAGAATGTGGAGAGAGAAGGAGGAAAATTTTCTCTATATAATTCTGAATTTCAGAGGATGGGGATGCCATAGAAAAAAATAATGACCAGTCTATAAACGAAAGTTGGTTTCACTGCTATAAGCAAGTAAAACATACACCTGTTTCACTTTTTAAATATCCGGTAAGCAGTCTGTAAATTCTTTACATTCATTAGCAATAGCCCCAGTGAACAGAACAGTATCTATTATAAAGGTATCACATCTGATTATAACACAATCTCACAATAAAAGTGCTTACCATTTTGCCTCATGTCGCAATATTATTCCCTCCTTAGTCACCAGGTAGCAAGATATTTTAGCAAAAATAAGTATGAAGTTATTTAATACAAAAATTACTATTAAGGCCCACAAATGAAAAAAAAAATCTGTAACAGATCTTACAAAATAGAAATAAAGTGACTATTAAAACTTTTTTAAGCAAAAATTTCAAGATGCATTTCATCTTTAAATTGCACTCAAATACTTGGAGGGAATAATATTTACTAATCTCATTTTCATTATGATTTTTCCTTTTATTAACATCATCAACTTGTCTCTGCTACCTTCTTCTTGCGTGGTCATTAGTCTCCTACTCTCTACTCAGTGGTATACCGTTAAATGATAGAACTGAATTTTCTGGTGATTCTTCAGAACAAAGAGAACCTACCAATTTACTTCATAAGCAACTGCCACCTCCTCAGGTGGGAATGGACCAAATATTAAGAAAAGAAGTACTTCAATCTGAGGAGGATGAAGAAATGAAAGAAGAAGATACAGAGCAAAAGAGACAGACCCCTGGATCTAGAAACCAGGGGCAACTTCATAGTGAGAGGGACAGCAGAGGAGGAGACAGAAAGCAGAGACCTGAAGAGGAGAGGAGGTTGGCACACCAGCAACAACGCCAAGGCAGGGAGGAGGAGGAGGAGGAGGAGAGTGAGGAGGGTGAGGAAGATGAGGAGGACGAGGAGGACCCGGTAAGAGGAGATATGTTCCGAATACCTTCTCGATCCCCACTTCCTCCTCCTCCCAGAGGCGCACTGCGCCTGCCAAGCGGGTGCTCTCTGTCCTATAGGACCATCAGCTGCATCAATGCCATGCTCACTCAGATACCACCGCTGACAGCACCACAGATAACAAGTCTGGAGCTTACTGGTAAGAGATGTTGACTTCTGCTTTTATTTTGTGCTTTAAAAGTAAATGACTCTTAACAACCGGGTGCGGTGGCTCATGCCTCTAATCCCAGCACTTTGAGAGGCCAAGGTGGCAGGATCACCTGAGGTCAGGGGTTTGAGACCAGCCTGGGCAACATGGTGAAACCCTATCTCTATTGAAAATACAAAAATTAGCTGGGCATGGTGGCGCATGCCTGTAATCTCAGCTACTTGGGAGACCGAGGCAGGAGAATCGTTTGAACCCAGGAGGTGGAGGTTGCAGTGAGCTGAGATCGTGCTACTGTACTCCAGTCTGAGCAATAGAGCAAGACTCCATCTCAAAACACACACACACACAAAAGTAAATGACTCTTAGCCAGGTGAGGTGGTATACATCTGTAGTCTCAGCTACTCAGGAGGCTGAGTGGGGGAATGGCTTCGACCCAGTAGTTTGAGACCAGTGTAGGCAACATAGCAAGACCCTGTCTCTTAAAAAAAAAAAAAAATGTGAACAATTCTCATTTTCTCATTGCTCTATGAGGATTGTATTTTAATTTCATCCTAAAAATTGATCCTGAATAGAGTAATTTCATAATCTCCAAATAGGTAAATAAACAAAGAGATATCTGTTTACTGCAGAATAGCAGTTAGGTATAAAGCAAACTCCAAATCAAATGATTATTTTCTACTGATGTCTGTTACAAGTCAGCTTTAAGGAGGTATAATTTATATATAGTAAAACTTATTTTTAGTATATAGTTCTGAGTTTTGACAGATGCATATAGTCATGTAACCACCATTAAAATTAAGATATAGAATATTCCATCACTCCCCAAAATTCCTTGTTTCCCCCTCCACCAGTCACTAGCCACCACAGAACACTGAACTGTTTTCTGTCTCTATAGTTTTGCCTTTCCCAGAGTATCACATAAATGGAATCATATAATACATAGCCCTTTCAGTCTGGCTTCTAATGTTTTTAAGAGCCACTCATTTTGTTTTGTGTATCAGTAGTTCATTCTTCTCTACTGTCAAGTAGTGTTCCATCATGTGGATGGGCCATGGTTTCCTACCAGCTGAGTTGTTTCCAGTTTGGGGCGATTATGTATAAAGTTGCTGTAAACATCCACGTACACATGTTTGTGTGGACCTAAGTCTTCACTTCTCTAGGGCAATGCCCAGGAGTGGGACTGCTGAGTGATATGGTAAATACATATTTAAGTTTATAAGAAACTGCTCGACAGTTCTCTAAAGTGGCTGTTCCTTTCCTACCTGCACGCTGGGGAGCTCCTGCCTCTCTGAAGCCTGCCAGCACTTGGTACTGTCAGCTGTTTTTTCCCTTCGTTTTAGACATTCTAGTGGGAATGTGGTTGTCTATACCTTTTGCCCGTGTTTCCATAGGACCACCCGGGAGGGCTACTGAGTGGAGGAACAGCAGGACCAGGTGTGAGAGGCTGGCTGGTGGGGACACTTAGGGTGCTGTGAGCAGCAGGAGCATTCGTCTGGGTAATGAGGCCCCATGCCAGGGGTGGCCCTGGAGATGCTGGGATGAGGAGAGCTGAAAAGATCAACACATTTGTGCAGGGATGGCCATCTGTGACAGGACATTGCCAGTGTCAAACATACTAGAAGCTTCTATGGCTTCTCTGACAAAGGATTTCATCCACTTTCATATGATCACCTAAGGAATTCTTCTCATGCTCAGCAAAGCCCCTTCTTCCTATGGTCTGTGCACCACATATGCTCTGCCCTAAGAAAGCCCAATTTGTGAAAGTCTAAAGTCTTGGGAAAGATAAATGACCCAACTGAGCTACACTGTTATGATTTTATAAGAAGGTCACCACGTGGCTTTTATGGTATGTACAACTGGTATGCTCACTTACTGGGTTTAAAAATTGACTACTGAACTTAACTAAATGTTAAAACCCATAAAATTAAAGCATGTAGGAACCTTTGTAGATTGAAGCTGTAGAGGCATAACAATAGATCTGAAAAAGTTGGGAGATGATCTCCCCAAGCTTCTTAGACAGTTATGGAGACAGGCTCAGAAGAGGTGAGTGACTTGCATGAGCATTCATCGACAAAAACAGCGGCATGGGAAATAGTCCATGGAAATAGCTATGGGAAAATATGAAGAATAAAAATCAGCTTCTGTATAACCTTCCACATCTTTGTTATAAATGTACAATGCTACCAGTATTCTCCAGCAGAGCACATTCTGGCTGTATTAGTATCTTCATCTAAACCATGATACACTTACAGCCTGATGAATCCTTAGAGAGAAAATGTCAACTATGTTAAACCATCTAGTTCCAGCCTGTTATTTTTATGAATATGCATTTGCTTGTATAATATATATTCTGTCCTTATTCTGAGTATTGCTTTCTCCTACAGATAAAGCTCTCTCTTGATATCTAGGTACACACAAACCCATACATGTGTGTACATGTATGTATATGCACACATACCTAAAACATAACTGCTGTGTGTCCTAGGCAATTCCATCGCCTCTATCCCAGATGAAGCATTTAATGGATTGCCAAATTTGGAAAGGCTTGATCTGAGCAAAAATAATATCACTTCTTCAGGCATAGGTTCAAAAGCATTCAAGGTAAATCCATGTTCTGATTTGTATATAATAATCTATTTGGACAAATGGCTTCACTATGACTTGCATTGGTTGGAGATGGAAAAAGGAGGAAAAGAAAAATGCTTCTAATTGGTAGTTTTCTTCTAAGAAAGTTTCCTCTCTGATGTCCCTAAACTGCATTCAAGTTATCTTTTGCATACAGTTTATTGTTTTATATACTTTTAGATTTGCTGTAAGGGCAACGACAATAGCATCAGTGACAAAATTAACAATTTTAATTTATGGAGTAGTTTCTCCCCAAGTAACTGAACATATGCTAAAATCTGGTCTCAGCATATGAAGTATTTTCTGGAAATAATGTGAGCCTATCTGGAACCTCTATTAACATTTTTCAGGCCTGCAAGACACTGTTTCCTTATTTTCTGTGCAATGAACAAAACCTGATGGAGGATACTTTGGCAGAAGGGGTTCTGGAAAAAGAAACAGGCTCAGATAAAAATTAGGGATAGCCTGGGAAAGAAGAGGGGAAGAGAGAACAGGAAACAGCATAGAATAAACCCTTGAAAGATACAGATTGGATTAATTTTTTTTTTTAAAGAGGGCTGAGTGAGGTGGCTCATGCCTGTAATCCCAACACTTTGGGAGGCCAAGGCAGGTGGATCACCTCAGATCGGGGGTTCAAGACCAGCCTGACCAACATGGAGAAATCCCATCTCTACTAAAAATACAAAATTAGCCGGGTGTGGTGGTGCATGCCTGTAATCCCAGCTACTGGGGAGGCTGAGAGGCTGAGGCAGGACAATCTTTTGAACAGTGAGCCGAGATTGTACCACTGCACTCCAGCCTGGGTGATAGAGCAAGACTGTCTCAAAAAAATAAAAAACAAAACCACGGTGAGAAAAGAGGAAAGGAGTCAAGGAATTTCAGGAGAAACAAAGAGCCAAGAGAGAAGGGGTTTATGTTTGTAAACAAAAACTCATGAAAGTGTGTGTTTGAAAAGCCAAAAATAAAACACACTACATTCCACTAAATGAAACTGTTATTCCCTTGGGCAGTCTTCTGGGTCTTCCACCCATTCTTCAGACAAATCACTGGCCTCTTATATTCTCAGTTCCTGGTTCTTATCTGGAATCTAGGCTGGCGATAAGAGGGTTCCACATTCATATCCTAGACCTACTTCATGTTATCCATCCTTCTCCTAGAAAATGGCTAGCATTAGGGAGTCCTTTTCTTATATTTGACCAAGAGATAAACACTGTAGGAGATTACCTCCTTTTCTTGCTTTGAAATTCTCTGTCCCATTCCAAAATTGTTGAAATTTGAATATGATCACTGGAGAAGTAAATTATTCCATGGGACTTCATTAAAATCTACCCAACCACAGTTCCCCACTTTTGGTGGTATGGGCTAGGTTTGACCAATGAACACACAAATACAAATGTGAAAAGACATTTTTCCAGACAGTCAACTGTTTGGATGCCATATAGGAATAGCTTGTGATATTTTTATTCCTTAGTTTTGAAAAATTTCCACGGTAATTAGCATTATTTCATGATCTTTCCAGAATAGATAAAAGACTGAGTTGCAAGTATGTTAAAAGGATTGATTGCTATCTTGTTAGCATCTATGACAGATTCAGATTACTGCATGATTTCATGAAATTTCCGTCTATTTCTGTAAAGGTGGAAACCTAAGATCTAGCAAGAATGACCAATCCAATAGTTATAGCAGCTTTCTCTCAGTTTCTAAAGATGCAACATAAACATGGTGAATAGGCTACAAAATCATCAAATGTAGTCTGCTGAAAATTCCTGAGAATCAATGCTATTACTAGGATCAATATCAACCTGGCAGGGGAATATAGGGTTTGCTGTGTGGCCTGGACATTACTATTTAAGCCTAAGAAAGGATAGGTTTGTGAGACTTTTAGTCAATGCTTCAAAGCAACCATTACGTGAAATGTGACTGCACTGCATGACCAGATAAAAAGGTAACTTTGAGATTTGTTTTTTAAGCTTCTGAAGAAGTTAATGCGTTTGAATATGGATGGAAATAATTTGGTACAGATTCCTTCAGAATTACCATCTACATTAGAAGAACTTAAAATCAATGAGAACAATCTTCAGGCTATTGATGAAGAAAGTTTATCAGGTATTTAATATTTGTTTTTCAATGATATGCTTATAACCTTTCCTATATAGCTGTATAGAAATTTTATGTACGGTATTGCCAAAAGAATAAATAGTAAATATTTTTAGTCACTTAACCATTTGAGTTGATAAAATTTCTTTTAACTACCGACTGGTAAAACGTTAAATGAATTTTAAACTGCCTGTTGTCTTTGTACCTTACCCATAAATAACACTGTTTCTCAATGATTCCAGTTCTCATTATTCACAAGACAATAACTTCACTACAAATCCAAAATATCTGAAGAATTACATTCAATATTCCCTACACCATCATGTGTTTTGTGTTTTGGATCAATAATTTTGTTGGTTCTTAGTAGCGACTAACCAGTGCCATGGTTTGTTGATTGGATCTCCTTTATCACTGTGACGGTCAATACAACCCACTAACAACTCTTGCTGCCTCCAATCACCTTGCTATTTTCATTTATCATGTGTTGGAACCTAAAAACAAAACTAAGCACGTGGGAATTATGTATGAAATATGAACAAATAGGCATTGCATATGAGGCGGAGATGCTGTCCTACAAAGAAAGCGTATGCTCTTCATGGTATTAACTTTGCCTTTGGCAATTTTGTGCCTGAGAGGGCTTGGGCTGGAACTTCTGGTACTCGTGTGTCAATGAAGTCCTGCCCACTCCACACCCCATGGCATGTGGATGCACAGCTCCCACCATGGCCTAGCTTTCTGACAGATTTTAGTGAGGGTGCCCCACGTTCTGTGCACTTGACATTGTTGGAACCACCTCCTCTTCTGCTTGTTTCTGGACTGTGCTAGATAGCTGAGTTGTCATATTGTGATCCTGTATAGAAGAGGCTTCATCACATTTTATTTTTCACGAATTCCACCTAATGCCTTTGATTATACTGTGTGCTTTTTTGAGACAAAGACTGCCTATATTTTCTTTTTATCTTCCTAACAGTCTAGCATAGCTCTTGAGGTACAGTGTTCAACACTGTTTACTTTATTTGAAACATATTTATTATGTAAATGCTGATAAACAAAGCCTTTAAAGGAATAAAACAATTCAACCATTTCCTGTAGCTCCCAAAAAACTTCATACGAACAAAACACTTCTGGTATTGAGAAAAGAACACTAATAATGAGAATTGCCAAATCTGAGGATTAGATAGTTATGGAAATACTAAATTTCCAGATGGATTTCAGGACACACAGAAAAACATCAATAAACACAAATTTCAATGGAGATTGCCAAATGGGAAAGACAGAAAATTCAATTTCTAACTGCAGAAGACCAAAGGGTGTTAGCAATTTAGAACAACTGTACTAACAGGCTGTGTATGAACTATAAGTCAGTTATACTTTTAGTTGTGTTATCAAAATGAGATGTTATAAAACGTGCACTCCTGATTGTGAAGGTGCTTTCACACACCCTTGGAATTGCCTTCCAGAAAACTCTTCTCCTTGAAGCACAAATGCTTCTAGATTACCAGAGTGTTGATGGGAAGCCAGAGTAAAGAGGCTGTCTGCCTGCCTTTCTCCACAGTCTGAGCACCGAGGAGCCTTAGCCTTATGCCGGCAGCACTTTCTGTCCTCTGGCCGAGAGAGTCTGCTTGCACTTCCTGGGTGGGCTGAGTTCTAAGAGCTACTGCAGTGCTAGCCCATTGGGTGCTGGGCTCCCCCTGGCTGGCAGTCCTGATGCTGTGGATGGTCAGGCTGGCTGCCAGGAGTGCTGTGAGGCTACCTTGCTTCTATGTGGAAGCAGGTGGCCCACTGCTCTCCTATCATCTCACTTAGGGCGGCTCCTTACTCATGACCTTTCAGATTATAGCTCTAGAGAGGTGGAAGGAGGGCACTCCAGGGAGAGAAAACGGCACAAAGGTGCAAAGAAATGAGACAATTTTGGACACTGTGGGAGCTGCAAGCAGGCATGGTAAAGTGTGAAAGGCAGGCAAAGAACAGCACAAGGGGCTGCATACACTGTGCTGAAGGGCAGGGAGTTTACCTGCAGGAGGAGCAGAGTCCACCTGAGATGCGCACATGTGTTATGGAGAAAGGGAAGGACTTACAATTGAGAAAAAGATGTGAAAGGTGGAGGGAGGGACAGCAGAGGAAAACCAGGCATACTTTAAAAGCATTTTTATTGTCACTAATGATGGAAACCACCACACTAGAAGCCCTGGAGACTGCTCTAGTGGATGACCATGTGATGCTGCCTGCCAGGAACATCAAGGTACCTGCCATGTCCACCACCTGTCATGGTACTACCCACCATGGAGGACTTCCTGTTCACTGTCCATGAATCCTTTCAACATCTACCTCAAGTCTCACTTACAAGAAACTTTCTCTAGCTTCATCCTATTTCCTGTTACCTCCGATCTCCTATACATGCCAGAGAATACCTGCAAAAGAAAACACAGTGTCCTGAATTTGCACTGTTTTTCTCTTTTTCTCTCGGTCACGAGATGACCATTAGTTCACTTCTATTATCTATTTTTCAATGGAAAACTTCCACTGCATTTAAAAACTTCACCTACGTACTAGAGAAAGATGTCGGATTCTCAGTACCTTTAGGTTTGGAAATGAAGGAGAATATGAGGAAATATGACCACTTATCACAGTTTACTGGCTGGCCTGGCTACTTCTGTTACTCAGCACTTCCATTAATACTAAGCATCACCACCAGATTAACCTTTGTAAAATGTGGCCTTTGTCCTGCCATCCCCATCTTGCTGCCTAGAGAATGAAAGCCAGACGTTGTTGTCCAGGGTGCAAAGGCCCTCTGACCACCAACCTTCACTCCACTGTGCACAGCCACTCTGGGGCTAGTCTCCTCTTCTCCTGAGCAAACCCACATGGGTCTTTCTCCTACATGTGCTCGGCTGGCTATTTCAGCCTGGAAGTTCCTCCTACTTCTAAATCTTTATATCTGTAGGAGCCTAGCATTTTCATACCACTCACATCTACACTGCTTTTTCTCTTTTAATCTTCCAGCATTTATTATTTCTATTCCTGATACAACTGTCTTTGCTGTTGCCTAAAAGCAGAACTGAGTCCCAAAAGGCATTCAGTGCAATGCACATAAAGGGGGTTGAACAGAAAACATCCCCTAATCTGGGAATCTTGGCCACACCCTGAACCTCTGACTCAGGTGCCTCTGGGTATTATCATTGCTGAGCTGTCCATTTTGCAGCATGGAGCTTCCATTTGACCTGGATCATACCACTCCTGAGGCCAGTAGAAACAAAGTAGAAAAAACTTGTTTGCATTAAGGCCTTTCTTGCTAGTTCAATCTGAATACGTGGAGAATTTTTGATCATCATTCTTCCAAAGCTTCCATTTGGCTGCGCTCTGTGCCAACAAGTGAATAACTATGATGGGAATTCACTGCTCTGCTTTACTTCTGACACCCTTGTTGAGAGACTGAGGGTGTGCCAGGGAAAGTGTTCTTTTCTGTGTCCTGGAAGAAATCACTCATTGCATTAAACTTCCATCTACTCCATCGCCTATTGTGCTGCCACTTCC